GGAAACGGAGGAAAAAACCGAAAGCTTTAGGAATAATGTGATAAAGACGAGGACCTACCTTGTGGGTGCTGGGGGGCAGGTGGGGGCCAGTGCGTGACGGCCAAACCGATGGTCCCAGAGCACCCGGAGATGCTATCATGAACAATCTTAAGAACTCTAAAAGTGCTTTTACCTTTTCGGATGTTACTTTCCCTTCTCCCTCCCCATTAAACGACGCGGAATTGTGTGCGTGCGTGTGCGGCCCCTCCCCCGTCCCTTTTCTAGGACAGGAAGAAGTCTTAGGACACCTAGTCGGTGGTCAGTGTTTCCCATGCATTGGATGGCTAGAGGGCTTGAGGAGAACAACTTGAACTCTATCCTGAGTTGGAGAAGTGCGGACTGGGGTTGCTATGGTTTTCTGAGCTAGGGAGAAGCTAGCAAGCTCAATGGTGCTTAAAGGGGGTACTACAAAACAGATAAAATGGGAACATTATTCAAATGCTGCAAGATTAATACCTGCTGATCTTTGGGGGTTTAGTAGCAGATAAGAAACTCTGAATTAAAGCATGACATTCTTTTTACTACTTCACATCTCCAAATACTCTTCATTGTTAAGTGAAATTCCCTCCACATGAAGTTACTGAATTGAGCGGGTTGTTTTTTTTTTTTTTTCCTTCTTCTTCTTCCTCTTATTTTTTTAACTTCTAAAGATCAACAATGCATAAAAGAAACCCATGACAGGATTCAAAGCATAGTAGGTGTTAAAAACTAAGTAAACATTTTTTGGGCGTTTGGACTTCATTTTCTTCAGTTGGGTGACTTTAAGTGGCATGTTTTTCCTCCCAGTGAAAGTCAGTTTAAAGTAATTTTGTGCTAAAAGGAGAAGCATCCTTCCTTCTCCAAACTACAAAATGATTAAAATTAGAATTTTAGAGGTACAATCATGAATCTGTGAAATGAAGATGAAGTAATTTCCTCCAAAATATTTTCCACTAAGTGATTCTTGCATCTTTTAAAAGATGAATATATTTTTGAAACATCAGAAGTGAAAAAGCCAATCATTAAAAAAAATTAAAACATAAGCATGTGCTTTTAGAAACTTACTCCTTTTTCTGTAAGGTCTTCATTTCTATTTAATATACCTAGTCAGGCAGATACGGGATTCCTTTTTGTAGCACTTTTATTCCGGAAGGATTTTGGTAGTGTGTCCCATACACTCTCTATGAGTAAAAAAGCAATAATTCTTTTGCAATAGAAAAACCAGTCAGGTAAAAAAGTGGTCAAAATACAATTTCACAATGAGGCAAACTATATATTCCCTAAAGGAATGAAAAGACAATGAACCTTAGATGCATGGAGTTATTCATATGTTATCATCAATTTAAATTAATTTGGGAACAGAGTTAGATTTATGTATAGCCCTGCTTGCAAGGAAAATTAATATCAAAATCCTGAGTAAATCTCATAGTCAGCTACTAATGACCACCTGCATATTTCCACACTAGAGTCATTTAATACTGTCCACCACCAATTTCCACTGTAAAAAGTATTCATATATTAAATATAGACCTTTATTTTCTTTTTTAAGCCATAAATTAGCTTACCAAGTTTTATGGAAATATGCACAGCACAGTGAGAGGCATTTTTATTCAGGGAGAAAAAAGGATCTGAGTGAAACATTCTTTAGCCATGACTAACTAAAAATATTAGATCAAATAAATTTTGAAAGAGGCACCTCAATGGTAAAACCGTTTGTACTTAAAGGGTTAATACCACCTAAAACTGCTGGAGCTGGTATCTAACTGATAAAATCTGAGGCTACAGCATCTTAGCAGCAAAGTTAAATAGTACAATATATCACAAGGATTATCCCCTAATCTCCTTCTGCTCCCCAAGATTTAAATGGCATTTTAAAGGGGGAAGTAATCTTCCTCTCCGTCACCCTCAAATCTCAGGCAATTGTTAAGAGTGTAAATTTACTCACATGAAACAATCATTGATTAAATCGGTTCAAAAAAATTAAATTACCTGCTTTTGCAAGCACAAAACCCTTGAGATGGCTGGTGTTTTTCCACCTGTAATAATACAAAATTTGACCATTAAGTATACCCAAAATTATATATTATATAAAAAGTTAAAGCCAAAGGTCTGAGGGTGAATTATGTCTTTTAATTGAAAGGATAAAGTTACCCTTCAGGTACTGAAGCCAACAAATTCATGGTCACTTAAAAATTTAATGAATGAAGTTTCACGGACTCAATTTTGCTAAAGCTTGCCTGAGAATTGAAGAATCTCTTCATGTTACTTTTTGTATTTCAAGTTAGAGTACAGCAGATCAAAATGCTGTCTGTATCAATCCATTTACATTAACCACAAAAGATCTGTAGAGAACTTAATAAAAGCACAAATATTTTTGTAAACTTTTTCAAGCAAATTATTTATTTATGAAATAATTTATGAAGAAAATTTTTACCTCATGCTTTAGATATATTACATATGCTCTTGATTGACACAATATGTTTAAGCTCAAAGGCCCTCGTAGCATTTTTTAATTCTAGTAGGACTATTTCAAAACAACCAACTAATACATGAGATCATAATTGTTTGACAGTTGTTTTTAATATATAAAATAAGTTATGTATATTGTTTTCCTTCAAATGTTTGTTGATTTGTTTGTATAGCCCTGACATTTGCATGGCACAAACTGAATTAGGGGAAATATTAAAAGATTTATTTACATTTATTATCTTCTGCTGTCAAGCATATGCAAAGCTCTTAAAAACTATTCTCTTCTTTTGCTTTTGTTTGCAATACATTTCTGAACAATGGAGTCTGGATGTTAAAATAACAACCTGTGCCTTTATAGAATACATCACAAAATAAAGAAGAAATTAAGAGAAATTTTTAAAAGCAAACAAAAGAAATAACTTCCAACTGAAATAACTTCTTTATAATCTTTCGTAATTCTTTGAGTTCTGGAATATTCTCTTATGGCTAGACCACTGATGAAACACTACCTTGAGCTGTATTAATGCTTATTATTTATTAAAATTACATAACGCACTTTTTCTGCTTTATTATTTAAACATCCTTTTTTTCCCTTTTCTTGTAGTTTATTCAGTAGAGATACAAAGAGGGATTAGTAGTTAAGCACAAGGATACTTGTTTTACATTTTCAACCTTTTAGCACATAACTTAACTTACAGTTCCAGTGCCTGTAATCACAATGATTTTACCTGATGGAACACGTATCTCAGAAATGTAATCCAACTGTTTACCCTAACACGTCATAAATTGCTCTTCCTTTCAGAAACCTCAAAGATTGACAACCCTTGGCCCTAAATGCCTACTGCTATAACACATACTATCAAGAAAATATTTATGTATTATTTGCTCTCAAATTAGTACTAAATCATATACAATGGAAGACCATTTTGCCTTCCAGCATATCAAAAGCAATTGTAGAAGTAGTCTGCCCTCCTTCGTGGTGAGACCTGAAGGAACGGAGCATATCAAAGATGAACTTCCCTGAGTCTATTTCTTCTCTCAATCACACACCACTCAATCTTTAAAAAAAAAAGACTTCTCTGCACAAATTATGATCATTTTCCAAACTACCTATTGCTGAACACCTCTGGGTGAATTTATTAAAGATAAATTCAGCTTTAAATAGCCTGTATCTGGTATTCAAATTCACACTTACACTTGCCAAACCTCCCCCCTGCAATATCAGGCAACTGCCTAGTTAAACAGATGGGCCTTGCAGCCCACCCTAAAAGCCAACAAACATAGGCTTTATTTAATTAAAAGAGGAAACAAATTTCTGAGGTGTAGACACACACAGGCGTGCATACACACACACTCACACATACACATGCGTGCGCACACGAAATCCCTGCCAAGGGTGCCCCAGAATAATAATGATGATTTTTGCTTTTTCAGCAGGTTTTATGAATGTCCAAACATATACTATCCATTGGATTGAAAGGAGAATTCAACAGGATCACTCAATGCTATGTATTCAAACCAAACCACTATAGGAAGTAACTGGACTCACTCCATTCTCTTAAGTAATAGAGAGCATTTACATTTGAATTAACCCAGATCCACCATGTGACCCTGAAAAGTAGCTTTTTCCAATGTTCTTCATATTTCTACCCTCTGCTCTATTGTCTTCTCATCCCATCCACTCTCCAAACCATGCAGTTAACTCTCAGTTGTCTATAACCAAGCCCAACCCCCAATTTTGCCTATTTTTCACACTGAAATATTCCACCAGAAATTCAAATTTCTGAATTTGAATGATACGAAATATGTCTAATACCATAATTTAGGAACAGGAGGCCATAAAGAGAGACAACATGGAAGGAGGAAGGAAATAGACAAACCCTATCTCTGTTAAAGTTATGAGTCATCCAGACCAGAAACCTCAGACATTTGACATCTTTGGTAATACCCTCTCCCACAGGCCCCACATCCAATCAGTTACCAAGTCCTCCCATTGTTTATTTTCTAAAGGCTTTTGTAACTCCTACTGCCTTTCTTTCCATCCACATGGACCCTTCACAATTTAAAAGTTATTATCTCTTGCAAGACATCCCATTGAGCTTCTCACCCTTACTCTCTTGCCCTCTGTTCATTATTCTACGAAGCTTCTGGGTCAGATCATCTCCCTTCTGCATTTTCTATTCCTCAGGACAAAAATCCCATGACTCCCAACTGCCAAAAGAATAACACTAAAGTGCTGTAGGCCATTCAAGTCCTCCCATAATCTAGTCCCAAACAACTGCTCTGGTCTCATTCTTCACTCTTTTCTTCCACACAGGCCAGTCTCCTGACCCACTGACTGAGACATTCCCCACACCTATCTGCCATTTCAGAATGCCTTGTTTTATACTTACAGCCACCTTCCACTTGGAAGGCTTTGAAGGGCCTTTCATACCAACTTTCCATGCAAAATACCCTCTCTTTTTCTAAGGTCAAACTCAGGTTCTGCCTTTTGTGTGACGCCTTCCCCAAACTCCAAATCAGAATCAGCAATGCAGGAACTAAGCTTCTATGGGACTTGCCTCTCTCTCTAGCTGGGGATTCATCAGAGTGACTTGTATAATGTTGTTTGTTGACTTCATCTCCCGCCCCTGCTAAACTGTAAGGTTCTTGAGGGCAGAAGACCATCAAGTCGCAGATATTCAATAACAGCTGTTCAACTGAATTTGGAGATTGGAACAACCTTGTTACATTTTACTTAGAAACACACTATTGAGCACAAGTTTTAAATGTTCCATGTGGCCTTTTCTTCCTTTCTTTCTCTTCATTTTTTCTTTAATACATATGGGCTGATGCATCATGTGCCAATTGAAGCTTCTGGGTGGTCTTCATCTCAGCAGCATATTTTTGGCAACGTATCAGAGAAGACGTTTGTCCTCCTCTGAAATATTGTCCTCATTATCATTAAGTTTGGGTTCATAATTCCATGTTGCTCTAAAAATAGCAAATTAAATGATCTTTAACTAAATCCTAGGCATTAAAATGTGGGGATATAGAAAATGAAGCTGAAAGCTGAGAAATTTTAGATGGGAAGGGATTTTTTGTAGTTTTAGAAGCCAGAGCGTGAGTTAGGAAAGTTATAAGACTGAGGTGCAGATAAACAATCTCTTCAAACGTTAATGGTGTCTTTCTCTATATTATTTAACATTAAACTATCCAATCATTTTGTATAAGTCTATTAATTTTTGCAGATTTAATCATCAAACATTAAAGTGATATTTAATTGAAGGTATAGATCCAAATGTCCAGGTTCCCACAGGGATCATGTTTCATAATATTATGAATCCCATGGAAGTGTGTGTGTGTGTGAGCGAGTGTGCCTGTGTGTATACATGGGTATGTGTCTAGGAGTGTGTGATCATCTGGAAAATGAAAACTTTGGTTAACATTCCATCTTGGTGTTCACAGAACTGATTTATCCTTGGTGCATCTAGATAACTGGAAAAGACTGGTGTTTAGACAACCACATAGAAAGAAGACTGTAGACTACCAGCTTCTGGAAGGAAGCTACTCTCCACATTCTCTTTCTGCCATGAGAGGAGAAACACTACATCACCTGGGCTCCCTTGCCATTTGGTTTCTGGCGGGGTTTGACTAATGACACCATTAGTTCAGGGAATGGGGAAAAAAAAGGCAACCAGATACTTATCCCCCTGAGTCCCTCCTGTCGGGCAGCCCCTCTACCATGGCTACACTTGCAGGGTTCCAGAAATAAGCTTCCTATCCCTTTGGATTTTAGGCCTAAAGGCAGCTGCTTCTGGCTCTTGGTAGCCCCTGAATGTTTCACCATCTCTTTCTCCTCCCTCACCCCTGCCCACGACTTTGTAAATGATCCTTCTTCATTCAACTCTCTTCAAATTCTTCTTTGTGTGTGCCATGTGTTATCTGCCTAGCTTCTGAATGATATAGAAGGACTTGTGATAAAATCATCTTTGTACTAACATAGCCCACGATAGTCTATTACAATATAAAGTTAAACAAATACATGTTGAGTGACTATCGTGTGCCAGACACTGTGTTCGGTGTTAGATACCCCGGTGGCAAATGAGCTGCCATGCTCCCCACCTATGGAATTTATGACCTAATTAAGTGCTTCTTAAACTATCTTGGTACTTTCTAAAAATACAAATGTGTAGCCCTCACCTACTGAAGTGCATCTCTGGAGAATGTAATTGTAGTAAGCACACCTTGTGATTCTTGTATTCACCAAGATACAAGAGAGCGGTCCTTTGACTATGACAAATATTAAATCATCCAATGCAAATGTGAAGATACCAAGACCTCAATAAATGTTTGTCAGGTGAATGCATGGAGGCACGAATTAAAGTTAACAGGTAGTTCAGATATGGAAGGTCACTTATGGTCATTTGTAGTGTGTAGGGCACTGGGATTACTGCCCTTCCATGGGGTAGACGGAAGTTGGGGTAGAGGGTGCTCTATAAATCGTGCTCATTGTTTTCGATCTTCGTGCTCTACTGTATTAACTCCCATTCCCTCCTCCATCCTCCCCAGACAACATGCACAAATCTGCTGTATCAGCCCCAGCTGCAGGGTTTCCCCAGCAGAGCAGAGCCCTGGGCACTTGCTCCAATTTGCTCTCATCTAGACTCTGGAGATAGCTCTGTCTGAAAGAGAAGCACGGACACTCATAGTTCAAAGCTAATTAAGTCAGGATGATAAACAAGGTAAGACTCCTGGGAATAAGGGGAATTTCTTGAACCCCAAGAAATTCACAAGTTCAAGATTGAGAGCATTGGTAATAATATCTGAGACTTCCAACTATTTTATTCATCCTTCCCAAAGATGTAGATAAGGCATAAGGCAAACAGCTACAGAGAACCACTACCTGATTATTGTGGTTGCTGTTTTGTGAAGTACTAATTACCCTCTCTTTCTACTATTCACAGTCTTAAACTAAGTTTCTAGACAGTCCCAGCTAACCTTTTCTCAATATTCTTTTTTCAATATTCTTTAACATATTTTTTTAAAGCAGTTCTGGGCAAGATCCCTGAACTCCTCATATCCAATTCTATAACTAGTCATGCAGAATATCACAGCACAATACATACACATATATTTACATGTATATTAAACTCTTTAAACAAGGAAACATAATCAAAGCATACCTCCTATTATCTCTTCTAAACACAAAAGCACACAGAGAATGCAAATACTGTTTTAATAATGCCATGAGTTTCCAGTTGCTATATGTTAGATTCTAACAGGTAAAATCTCAAGACCACTTTGACGTACCTAAAACCAAATTTTATTTTATTTAAAGAGACATGCCACTGCATCTTGATCTCACACTAGGTGAATAAAGGCAATTTTACCTTTGGACCATAAAAGTGAAAATGAATGTAAAGTAGCCACCTAGAAACAACCCATTCTGTGGGGTACATCTGAATAATTTGCATAGGAATATGTTATCATGGTCCAAGCATTGGTTACACTTGGTAACTATAATTTGTCCTACCAGGCAGTATACTCTCCTTAGTAGGATATTATACTGTGACTTATGATGTCATTACACAAAAATTAAAATCTTGCTCCATGTTTCATCACATAGCCAGCACGATATTCTATTGATAGAGTAGAGGTCAGAGCTTAGGGTCACTCTGCTTTATTAAGACTGTTTTATGACTCCACCACAAGCTACTCGAACAAGTACATATTCCTTAACTATATTTTGGGCAGTGGGTTTCTTTTTTCATTCAGCATATCATTAGAGGAAAGTTATATAATTTCTACTGAGATCATTGTAAAATTTAGCCTCTTTATAATGCACTTCTGGCCTCCCATTTCAGAGATATCTTGGTAAAGACTGTCCTAGAAGATGAGAATCATCCACATGCTTATGAAAGCATCGAATGACAAAACATTGGCTTTTTATTGAAATGCAGCCCGCTCCTCTAATTTTACAAGTAAAGAAACAGAGACCTAGGCAGTGAAGGACTGCAGTGTCTAAATATACACCAAAGTAATCACAGTGGCTTACTATGTGCCAGGCTCTGTTCTAAGTATTTCACAGAGAGTAGTTCATTTAATCTGAACAAATACTCTATGAAGTAAGTATCACTCTAATTCCCATTTTGTAGATAAGAAAATGGAAGCATATGCAATAACATAGCCAAAGTCAAATATGCAGTCAGGTATAGAACTAACTGGGTCAAGGGTCTAAAGTGTCACTACTCTACACCTTTACTCTGGTGGCAGAACTGGGACTCCAATCTATGGTTTTTGACTTGACATTGAAACTTGCAATTGTGAAGTACATATGTGTGTTTGTGTGTGTCCACCTGTGGTAAACACTTGCTAGTTTTTAGCTGCCCACATCCATTCTCTCTTCCCTAGCAATAGCCCACTGGTTTCCCCCTGGAGGAAGAGAAGCCCCTGTTCTTAATCCATCAAGATGACTCACTGCAAGAAAAGCAAGCATCTGACTCTGGTCTTGCTTATCAGAGCATCACATTCAGAGTTGGAGCCAAGGAAACCTCGGGAGACAAATGGAGAGAAAATCTGAATCTTTTATTCCCCAGCACTCAGTCTTTTTTTTTTTTTTTTTAAGATTTTATTTATTTATTTGACGGATAGATAGCACAAGTAGGCAGAGTGGCAGGCAGAGGGAGAGGGAGAAGCAGGCTCTCTGCTGATCAGGGAGCCAGATGTGGGGCTCGATCCCAGGACTCTGGGATCATGACCTGAGCTGAAGGCAGCTGCTTAACCGACTGAGCCACCCAGGCGCCCTGACCCAGCACTCAGTCTTGAGAAGCTGTGAGGCTGGAGCTCTTGCAGCTGTCTCACCACCACAGAAAATTTTAGCAAATGTAGAGAAAACAGA